CCAAGCTAAACAATCCCAATTCTTTCAGTCTTCTCTCATAACTCATGTTCTCTAGACATTTAATCATTCTTGTTGCTCTTCTCTGGACCTTCTCTTTCGTGAAATGTGGTGCCCAAAACTGGACACACTACTCCAATTGAGGCCTAATCAGCGCAGTGTAGAGCAGAAAGACTTCTTGTGTCTTGCTCACAACACTCCTCTCAAAGCATCCCAGAATCATGTTTGCTTTTTTAGCAACAGTGTCACACTGTTGACTCATATTTAGCTTGTGTTCCACTATGACCCTGAGATCCCTTTCTGTAGTACACCTTCCTAGACAGTTGCTTCCAATTGTGTGTGAAACTGATTGTTCTTTCCCAAGTGGAGTACTTTGCATTTGTCCTTATTAAACTTTATCCTATTTACCTTAGACCATTATTCCAGTTTGTCTAGATCATTTTGAATATGAACCCATCCTCCAAAGCACTTGCACCCGCACTCCCAGCTTGGTGGTATCTACAAACTTAATAAGTGTACTCTCTATGCTGGGGTGGGCAATAATTTTTGATGGGCCGGCCACTCCCAAGATTTTGGAAAGTGGTCAAGGGCTGCACTCTCTCATGGTATTAATGGAGGAGGTGTGGAGTCTCAGCTGGAGGTTGGGCAGAAGGGAGCTTGGGGTAAAGATTGGGGTGCAGGAGGGAGAATGGGGTCTGGGAGGGATTTTGGGCGAAGGAGGTAGTTGTGACCTAGGGCAGGGAACTGGGTGAAGGGTTTTGGAATGTGACCTAGGGTGGGAGGGGATTGTGATCTCAGGCAGGAGATTGGGGTGCCAGATCTGGGAGGGGGCATGGGTGTATATTGAGTAGCAGGGAAGGAGTGTGGGGCAGAGGGTTGGGGAAAAGAGGGGCTGAGATGCCAGAGGCAGGTTCTTGCCAAGGGACTTAGCGTGCCTGAGAGCTAAAGGCTTGCAGAGCTTAAAATGTTTCTGCCTGTTTGGCCATGTGCTTGAATGAGTGAGAAAGAGAGTTGCGCTTTGTGGCTGCCTGTTGTTCAAACAGCTCCCATTGGCCAGTGTCTGTCCAGAAACTGGCCAATGGGATTGTGCTGGGGGCAGGAGCAGCGTCTGAATCTTCCCCCCCTTCCCTCTGGACTTAAAGATAAAGCATCTTGCAGTTGTGTTTCTGAGCAGCATGTGGGACAAACTGGGGCACCTGCCTGGGGCTCCCCACTACCTCCATGGGCTGGATCTGGTGGCTTGGAGGGATACATTTTGCCCAGGCTTGCTCTATCTCAATATCTAAATCGTTGATGAAGATATTCTGCGGAACCCCACTTGTTATGCCCTTCCAGTAGGATTGTGAATCATTAATAACTATTCTCTGAGAACAGTTATGCACCCACCTAATAGTAGCCCCATCTAGGTTGCATTTCCTTAGTTTATTGATGAGAAGGTCATATGAGACCATATCAAATGCCTTACCAAAATCTAGGTATATCATGTCCACCACTTCTCCCTTATCCACAAGATTTGTTATCCTTTGAAAGAAAGCTATCAGATTGGTTTGACATGATTTGTTCTTTACAAACCCATGCTGACTGTTACCTTATTTTCTTCCAGATGTTTGCACATAAATTCCTTGCTCCATTGTATTTCTTGGCACAGAATTCAGGTGACTGGTCTGTAATTTCCTGGGTTTTTCTTATTTCCCTTTTTTTTTAATAGATGGGCACTATATTTGCCTTTTTTCCAGTCTTCTGGAATCTTTCCTGTCTCCCATGATTTTTCAAAGATGATAGCTAAAGGCTCAGATACCTCGTCTATCAGCTCGAGTATTCTAGGATGCATTTCATCAGGCCCTGGCAACTTGAAAACATCTAAGTAATTTTTAACTTGTTCTTTTTTATTTTATCTTCTAAACCTACCACATTCCCACTAGCATTCACTGTTAGGCATTCCTTCATCATCAGACTTCGTGGTGAAAACTGAAAAAGAAGTCATTAAGTACCTCTGCCATTTCCAAGTTTCCTGCTATTGTTTCTCCCTCTTCACTGAGCAATGGGCCTATCCTGTCCTTGGTCTTCCTCTTGCTTCTAATATATTTATAGAATGTCTTGTTACCCTTTATGTCTGTAGCTATTTGAGCTCATTTTGCGCCTTTGCCCTTCTTGTCTTGCCCTTGCATACCTGTGTTGTTTGCTTATATTCATCCTTTGTAATTTGACCTAGTTTCCACTTTTTATATGACTCCTTTTTTATTTTTAGATCATGCAAGATCTCCTAGTTAAGCCTAGGCAGTCTTTTGCCATACTTTCTATCTTTCCTGTGCTGCAGATTAGCTTGCTTTTGGGCTCTTAATAAAGTCCTTTTGAAAAACTGCCAACTCTCTTCAGTTATTTTTCCTTAGTCTTGCTTCCCATGGGACCTTAGCTACCAGCTCTGAGTTTACTAAAATCTGCCTTCCTGAAATACATTCTCTCTTTTGCTGTTCTCCCTTCTACTATTCCTTACAATCATGAACTCTATGATTCTAAGGAATAGTAGCTGCTTTCCACTTTCAAATTTGTAACCAGTTTCTCCCTATTTGTTAAAATCAAATCTAGAACAGCTTCCCCCCAAGTAGCTCTCTCAACCTTCTGAAATAAAAAATGGTCTCCAAAACAGTTCAAGAACTTATTGAATAATCTGTACCCCACTGTGTTAGTTTTTCAACATACCTCTTGATAGTTGAAGTCCCCCATCACCACCAAATCCTGCGCTTTGGATGATTTTATTTGTTTTTTTTTTTAAAAGAAAGCCTCATCCACCTTTTCTGCCTGGGTAGGTGGTCTATAGTAGACCCCTAGCATGACACTTGGTTTTTTACCCCTTTTAACCTAACCCAGAGCCTCTAAACATATCTGTCTTCTACATCCATCTCCACCTCAGTTCAAGTGTTTACATTTTTAATATATAAAGCAACACCTTTTTTTCCCTGCCTATCCTTCCTAAGCTGTACCCTTCTATACCAATATTTCAATCATGTGTATTATCCCATCAAGTGTCTGTGAGACCAACTATGTCATTGTTGTGTTTGTTTATTAGCACTTCAAGTTCTTCCTGCTTATTACCCATACTTCTTGCATTTGTATATAGGCATCTAAGATACTGATTTGATTTTGTCGTCCAGTTCTGCCTTGTTCCTTCTTTTTCTCTGCTATGATAGCCCACGCTCCCTCTCATTTCTCACCCATCTCCCAGGTCTCCGTGTTCTTCACTTACATGTGGGCTTTGGTCACCTGCCCTGTTGAACCTAGTTTAAAGCCCTCCTCACTAGGTTAGCCAGTCTGCATCCAAATACAGTCTTCCCCTTCCTCGAAAGGGGAGCCCCATCCCTGCTTAGCAGTCCTTCCTGTAATAGCATCCTGTAGTTGAGGAAGCCGAAGCCCTCCTGGCAACACCATCTTCGCAGCCAGGCATTCACCTTTAGGATGCACCTGTCTCTGCCTGAGCCCCTATCTTTGACAGGAAGGACTGAACAGAATACCACCTGTGCTCTAAACTCCTTCCCCTGTACTCCCAGAGCTCTGTAGTAACTGTTGATCTGCTCAAGGTCACACCTTGCAGTATCATTCGTGTCCACATGGATGAGTAGCATACGGTAGTAGTCAGAGGGCTGGATAATCCTCAATAATGTGTCTGTAACATCTTGGATACAGGCCCCTGGAAAGGCAGCACACCTCCTAAGATGACATGTCAGATGAGATGAGATGGGTGCCTCCATCCCCCTCAGAAGAGAGTCTCCAACCACCACTAGCCTATGTTTCCTCCTTATGGTGATGGAAGCAGACCTCCCAGCCTTGGGGGTACGAGGCTTCTCTTCTTCTTTAGGGGGTGATACCTTATCTCCCGTATCCATGCCCCAGTACCATGGTGAGAGGGTTGGGAGCAGGAGTGGAGCACTGCCTGCTGCCAGAAATGACTAGTTGCCAGTGTCCCCCCTGAGCCATCTTCTCCTCCTCCACAAGTGGTGTCAGCAGTCTTTTGTAGTGGGACATCTTCCTCAGCTGTCTTGACATGAATACAGTCTAGGAATTCCTCTTGGATTCAGTTGCTCCTCAGCCTAGCCCACTTCCTCCTATATGTCTCCCACCTGCTGCCTGAGAGATTCCACCAGCAGGCACCTTTCATGGTCTCCCCAGCCCAGATTTCAGTAAGTGGTAATTGCAAGCCACAGTCCCTGAAAAACCACACCAGGATCTGGGTAGAGGCATCCATGGTTAGGTGATCTGTCTGGCTATAAGCACAGGTAGAGGAGAGAGGAGCAGTGCTGGAAAAAGTGTTGTGGGTCTTCCTAACCCTGTTAGGACTCCCTCTTAAACTTCCCTCTCTGCAGCCCCTGTCCACTTCGCTCCCCTGGTCACTCTGCCTCTGGCTTTTAAGGTCCACTCACCTAGGTAAGGCCTGCTCCCTTGTTAGCCATACAGAGAAAGCTGATCCTGAGGCTGATCAAAGGCAATCAAGGGAACAAAGGATCAAACACTCCCAGACTCTCAATCCCAGCTGCCACAGTAACTGAAATCACCTGAAATCAGAATAAAAAATTCAAACAGTCGAGTCAACTTACTCACACCTAAAGCTAGTACACTCACCTGGCAGCCTGTTCACAGAAGATTGAGAGGATTAAGCCTATGATTCATGTACAGGAAAAACACATACTAGTGTTTTTAATAAACCTAGAAAAACACGCCTAAGAATTGGGATACTATAAATGTTTTCACTTTAACTCAAAATGACTTAACTTCTAAAATTTCTCCCTTTTTCAACATGAATGCATGACTCTAATTTTGATGAGGTAATATATTTAATCTAACTTCAGTTGGTGAAAGAGACAAGCTTTTGAGCTACAGAGAGCTCTTCTTCAGGTATATCCTAACTCTAAACTCTTCTCACAGTCTCCCAAGTTCCACCTCTCTATGCATCACTTTTACAGTTTTTTTCTTTAAAGACGGGAACAATAAACAAGTTTAGTCAGTAGAAATTAGCGAAAGAAAACGTGTTTATTTTAATTTTTAAAATGCATCTACTCATGTAGTCAAAATGCATCATTAGAAAATATATGCTTTTTAAAAACTGCAAACATGACAAAAATAGGGCACACATTTTGAGATTATTTCTCAAAATAGCCGCATATATTTTGTATGGCACAGAATGCATGTCCCTGGTTTTGTAACACTGTGGTAAGCATCTCTCATACTTATATTTCTGTTAAGAGAATAGTTTTCCTTACAGGATACTATCCTGTGCCGCTTCTATTGGCTCTCAGTAGCAGCTATTGTTAATATTACCGTATTTAATTCCAGTAACAGCTACAACATGTGAGGAGCAGTACAAACTTAAAGGAAGACACAGTATTTGCCTAGTAGAGCTTACAATATAAAGAGAAGCCAGACATATAGATTCAGGCATGGGAAAGTGGCATATTATATCAATAAAATGGTCAAGGTGATGATTGGCCACATCTTGATAATACTACTGAAACAATATCGATATTAAGTAATAAAAATAATGCAGTTCTGGGAAACTTTCTGCAGGTTAGTTTGTCAAAGGAAAAATAGTTTCACTTAGCAAACATGAATGAGGCAACCAATATACCTTCTTCAATTTAATTATCTATTTAACTGTTTTTATGCCTGTCTTTCATCATTCCAAAAGCTCTAGTGCAACTCATTTGTTCTTTCTTTCTCCCATATTGCTTTCTGTTGCCTATATTTAGACTCCTGGAAAATCTTCTGTACTTGTTTAGCAAAGCCAGGACTATCTTCTTCCAGTGCATTAATGGTTTGCAGGACACAAGGAGTCTTCTCCCTTGGAAGTGGATTATTCAATGGCCTCAGTGGTATGACAGAGTTGTATTTATGCTGTTTGTTGAGAGCGTTCATCAGAGAGGCGTATGACTGAAATTCACACCAAGCCTCACTCAAGAAATGTTCTGTCAACAAAATAATAGTCCATGCAGACCTATTCACTGCATCATTTAAGTTTTGTAAGAGATGTCTGCCACTAGGCATTTCAGCAAAGATTATTCCAGGTTTAATACAAAATTTATTTTGTAGTAGATGCAGGAGACGGTTGGCTTCATCTATATCATTCCCACTATGCAGAATCACAAACTTGTAAAACACATTCTCAGGATCTTCATCACTGCTATGAACTTCTGGGACATTTGTGGAGATCTCTTCTGTATCAAGAGACAGACCACACAATTCATGATTTTGCTTGATGTCTCTCTGGCCTGCACTCACATTAGTACCCTTTTTCATGTTATTTGGTGGAGGATTTCGTTTGGTGTTAATGTTGCCCATTATGATAAATGTTCACGTCAGAAGATGTGTTCAATATCAACTCATTTCATTCTAAAAAAAAAAAAAGAAAAATAAAAAGCTGTTGAACCTTATCACAACCTAAAAAAAGACATTCATAGCAATCTAGAAATACCCTGAACTGTCTGAAGTGAGCTGTTACACATCCTAATGAAAAATAGCCAAAATACTGAAAGGGAACTGGTGGCAGAAGTGGACAATAAGTTATACAATAAGACATTACATAAAATTTTAAAAAAGTGATTTTAGGCCATCCACACAGCAGCATGTCACAAAACACGGAGTTAACTGTCCAAACAGAATTCCAGATGTAATTTTACCAAAACACTGTGTTCACCTTAAAGATGTTTACCAGAAAGATGTCAGCAAATTGGAGTAAATTCATAGGAAAGCAAGTGCCCGGGTTGTAGTATGTTATATCTAAATTATGCAATAAGGCTCCACCTCCCATACATGCACTGAATTCTGTAGCAAACAATAGGAACAGTGTGTGACAGTGGTTGATTGATTTTAAAAACACTTGATAAACTTCAATTCATAAAGTTTTATTTCTGTATAGGTTGAACCTCTCTAGTCTGTCACGCTCTGGTCTGGCAACATCTGTGGTCTGGCATGATTTTAGTTGGCTGGATGGCCACTTTTTATGGGTGGGACCAAGTTTCCAGCGGTCTCAAAGTTAGTTTGCAGACACCAGTGCTGTCTCTCACTCTTCTATGCTGTTATTTAGCTCTAATTTATCCCTACTTGTCTTGTAAGAGCCAGGTAAGCAGTGGAAGTGTTGGTAATGCAGCTAGACTAATGGTTCCCAACCTGTGGACTGCAGACCCTTGGGGGTCCGTGGAAATGTAAAAGTAAGGATTGGGCTCACCGCAATAGGCCTGATCCTTCCTCTTCCCCTCCCCCTTTTTTTCTCTCCCCTGCAGCCACGCACGCCGGACGTGGCTTACTTTTGATCTCATTTCCTGGATGCTAAAGGAGCACGGAGAAAGTACTTGCATGCCATGTATGCTTCTCACATATCAGCCAGGCATGAGAGGCATGCACAGCATACAAGCACTTTCCCCATGCTCCCTTAGTGTCCAGAGAACGGGATCAAAAGTAAGTTGTCCCAGTGTGCATGCCTGCTGTCACCCCCCATGATCCTGAAGTTCGGCCCTTGAACTTTATGAACTATTATACATTTCAAATGATTATCAAGTAATGGAATGTTTGAAAATAGCTATATTGTTTGGGGGAGGGGTCTGTGAAATTTTAATAGATTGTAAAGGGGTCCATCTGCTCAAAAATGTTGGGAACCAGGTGTGCTAGACAATATTGACCTTCTGTGGTTTGGCAAATTCTCCAGTTTGGCACCGATCAGGTCCCAACGGTGCCAGGGAAATGGAGATGTATGGTCCAATTCCCTTCCCACAGAAGTCAATGAAAAACTTCAAATTGACTTGAATGGAAATTGGAGTAGACCTACGTAATCAGATTATACATATAGTCTTGCAGAAGTGCTACAAAAATGTTTAAAGAACTAGAGTGAACTAGGAAAAATGGATATGCCTGTACATGCACTGGTGAAGTAATAATTAGGGGAAACATAACACAATTTATAAACATATGATGAGTAGAGATGTAAAATTTCGATTTGGCTAATCAAATAGCCGATGCAATTTACAGTCTGTTCAGTTAGTTAATAAAGGCGCCTCTGCCTTTGAAGTGTAGCAACAGCTCCAAGGCTGTTGCTACACTTCAAAGGTGAAAGCGCTGTGGTGAGCATGGGGCCAGCAGAGGATTCAAGCATCAGGGGATTCAAGCAGTCCCCTGTCAGAAAGAGGCAGCAAAGGGAGGGAAGAGCATGGGGTGCTTCAAAGCAGCAGCTCCACATGGAGCTGGGGCAAGATCCCGGGGCTGGTCCCATGCTCCCCGTGGCATTTCAAAGCAGCAGTGCCTCATGGAGCCCAGGGTCAGTAGGGGAGTCCCTAGCTGACCCTGGGCTCTATGCAGTGCTGCTGCTTTGAAAAGCCACATGAAGCCCAGGACAGCCCCGGGATCTTGCCCCAGCTCCACGTGGTGCTGCCGCTTTGAAGCACCCCATACGCTTCCCCCCTTTGCTGCCTCTTTCTGATAGAGGCAGCAAGGGGGGAAAGCAACTAGTCGACTAGCATGTCAGCTATCCAATACGCATTTTCTTATCAGATAGTTGATTATTCACATCCCTAAAGATGAGTGTAAAAAATCAAGGAGGGAGGGAAACTGTTTAAAGTGGGTAAAAATGATATGATGCCCAGGAATTAAGTGAAATTAAGAACAGAACAATTTAGGCTGGATATCAAGGGGAAAAAAAACTTTCCAGTTGTAAAAACTATTAAGTTATGAAATAGTCTCTGCAAGCAAGTTGTGGTGCACTTAGATAAAACACTACAAATTGATTGGGATGTATCATGTATCTGCTATATTTTACTATCTAATTTAACAGATCTTCCCCGTCTCTAACATTTATGATATAGCACAAGGGAAGCAAAGGGAAACTGGTAATCTTTTTGTACTTTTTAAAAAGAGAGTAAGTTTTCATCATTGAGGAAAGTGAATAAATAATTTTAAAAACCCAGACAGATTTATGCAGAATATTTTTCATGTTGTATAAAGGATTAGTTGTTCATTTGGAACATGAAAAGGAGTGATTCAATTTCTGAGTGCTTCAATAAAGGGGCATCTATATTACTTTAGTGACACATAAGTCATGATGTTTTGCTAATGACAGAGTGACTGCTTTGACAGAGCTCAAGCACAATGACACTGACAGGGATTGAGAAATCTATACACACACTGAAGAAAACAGATGAATGATTTTATAATTCCTCGTAAAATGCTGACCTGGGCTAGCAGACCAAATCATTTTAGTGAGATTTTAGTATTTTTTCACATGTATTTCTTCTCTGAAAAAGAACATTGCTAAATTTCTATTTTAGTGCATAACCCCAAGATACGGTAATTTACTTCCCATTTAAAATCATTCTGAAACTCTTGTCTTTACACGTAGATTAGCCCCTAAACCCTCTAACTTTCTCTGTTTTTATTAAAATTAAATTAATCCAATATGGACTGCTGGTTTGTATCTGTTGATGAGAATGCTTCATTATTTATTTTTTATAAGCTTCAGGGGTTAGCCAAGTTAGTCTGTATAGAAAAAAACAACAAATGGTCTGGTAGCACTTTATAGACCAACAAAACATGTAGATGGTATCATGAGCTTTCGTGGGCACAGCCCACTTCTTCAGATGACCGGATCTTTGAGTTTAGGATGTGCAGACCCAAAATAAATAGGAAGGAAAGGGGGAGAGGAAAAAAACGAGGGGGGTTGGAGACAGGAAACAGAGAGTATAGAAAATCAGGAAGGTAGAGGAAATCAGTAAGTATCTGAAGATTGGGTAGTTAAAACAAAGCAGATAAGAATCAAAGTCAATTGATAGTATCCTTCCTGACATAGGAATCTACACAAAGAGCTGTTTGCACCGTCATTGAATGTTAGGTTGGTAGTGTACCAACCATCCTTCATCACCAGGGCTCGCAGAACCGCGGTGAGCCCTGCTTGCCAGCCACGCTGTCCGGCGATCTGCACATCTGCACCCGAATCCGGCTCTTCTGGGTTGCAATCTACTCGCCACGGGCGAGTAGATTGTATTCTTTGTCGAGCCCTGTTCATCACGATGAACTCTAATTCCAATGCTTTGCTGTGTATCTGGCTAGTAGAATTGGTTTGTGATAAGACAGCCACTTGAAGATCTTTTAAACAGTGATTAGGAAGATTAAAGTGTTCCCCAACAGGTTTCTGTATGTTCCCTTTACATATATCTGATTTGTGTCCATTGATTCTTTCCCGCAGAGACTATCCAGTTTGTCCAATATATATAGCAGTGGAGCATTGCTGGCATTTGATGGCATAGATCAAATTACTGGATGTGCAGTCAAATGACCTTTTGATTTGGTAGCTTATGTTGTTGGCTCCAGAGCTGAATTCACTAGTATAGATATGTGGGCAGAGTTGGCATCGTGTTTGGTTGCAAGGCTGTAGGATCTTTATAGAGCATTCCTAAAACTTAAATACCATCTAAATGTTGTTAGTGTATAAAGTGTTACCAGACCATTTGTTATTTTTATAAATGAATGCTCATACTGACAAATGTATCATAATATGCAGACATTTCTGCAGTAATACACTCCTTTGTATTAAATAGATTAGCTATATTGTCCTCATATGTTTGCTTTTTAGAAAGTAACACTGTGCATGGAGCCATTTTATCAAGGACCATAGCTATGGCTCCAATCCTATAAATATTTACCCATCTGAATAGCCACACTGATTTCAAATTAATGAAAAATATTCTTTAAAAACTGGCATTTAAAATTCTATTTATTCCTGTTTATTAACATACCCTAGAAGCTTTAACCTAACTTGTATTGTGTTAACAAGGTATTGGTCCTTCATAGAGCTTGTACACATTTGTTAATGTTGCTCAGTGTTGAGTAAAGCAGATGTTTTCAAAAGGAGTTCCAGTAAAATCGGACACACTTTGCAAATGTATAAAGAAAAAAAGTTAAACCAATATTTTGGCTGATCCACCATGAAAGTGTCTAAATGAAAAGCAGTTTGCTCTTGCATTGCCCATACCTGCTGTGTTTCTTTAAAAAAAACAAAAAACAAGAAAGTGCTTATAGTCCAAAAAAACTTAAAAAATAACAAATAGACCAGTAGCACCTTAAAGACTAAAAAAACATGTAGATGGTATCATGAGCTTTCGTGGGCACAACCCCAGGAGGGTAGATTCCCTCTATCTTCAGATTATTGGAGTATTAGAAGTCCAGATCCAAGCATAAATAAGGGAAGGGGGGTAGGAAAAAAGAACAGTGAATAGATTGTTCAAGTAGTTGCAAGAGGCTGATAAGAACAATTAGCACCTCCATTGGTTGATTAAGTCATTGGGATGTGGAAAGTAGGTGTAAAGCCAGCCAATGTCTCTGTTCATTCTATTCACATAAGAATTAAA